AAAATCAGTTATGGCCCTTCCAATGTGGTGCAGACCAGATCACAGAGATAGAGGCCCCATCCAGAGGACTTGTGACCCAAGCCTTATAGAAATTGTTAGTGTTTACTTACTTGGAGAATCCCCTTGGGATATCTTCTTTGTGAACTTGAGGCAACTTTTGGTGATTTCTTGAGGACTTGGGGATCTTGTTCCAGAACTATCTTGATTTATCAACTCCTTTTCTCGTCAGTGGCATTTTGTGGCCAGATTATAAATAAGTTTTATGATGTTTATGTAAAGAAATAAGATGACTTATAGTGTGATGCTTCTGTGGTTCAGCCCTTGCTTTGTTCTTAGCCCTGTTTATCTACATCTGCCTCCTCCTTGGTAACAAAAGTTTGGTTTAATACTATGACTCCCACATTGAGTTTCTTAGCAGTAATTACTTTTCAATTAGAGGTGTTCTCACTTCTATCTGTCAGACAGGACCACCAAACTAAATAGTCTAAAAATATAAATCGCTTTTGCTTAAAACATTTCAATGATTCCCAACCCCCCCTCCACCCCCCACTGCCTTTTTTTTTTCTTTTTGGCAGCTGGTTGGTAGGGGATCTGAACCCTTGATCTTGGTCTTATCAGCACCATGCTCTAACCAAGTTAGCTAACCGGCCAGCCCCTCCAATCATTTTTTATTTTTCTACTGGGTTATCTTTAACTACAGGATGGATCTGGGAGTGCAACACAAGAAAGCCTGGCCTATATATGAATTCTTTTTCAAGGCTCTATTTTTTTCTTTTCTTTTTAAAATTTATTTCCTTTTAAAAATGCAAATTTGCTTTTGATTAAATTTGTTTAAAACAAATTTTGAAAACATTCCCTAAATTGTTGAGTGAAATTGGCGCTTCAGAAAAATGGTTTGCATTTTTCCTGTCACCTCAGCACACGACTGTGCATTTCTGTTTATGTATCCACACACATTTGTGTTGAGGAAGAATAGGAACCACAAGATAAAGTTCATGTTCCTGAAAATTACATCAAAGGCCCTGTGACCTGGTCCTGCTGACTTCTCCTACAGATTTCCCACTATTTCCTAAGTTGGAATTTTTGGTCTGGATGCTTTGAGTTTTCCTAAAATCAATAGGGTTTTTTCTTTTTTGATTATGTAGTAAATAAAGGCTCTTTTGCACAAAACTTTAAACAATGCAGAAGAACCTGAGGAAGAAAGCCAGGTTTATCCAAAAATCCCTGTGCCTAGAGTTAATTACCTTAGGTATTATTTCTTCTCTCTCTTTTTCTCAATATACTATATATGTATATATATATAAATATTGTGTGTAGGTATATATGTACATATACACACAGATGTATATACACATAGACAAATATGTACCTGTGTACACTTGCACACACATAACATAATTTTACATCCATAGTCTAAAAATGTTGCTTTTTTTGTGATCACCTTTTTGTTTAGTTTTATAAGTTGTTTAACACCTCACTAGTTACCCAAACCTGATAATCCAAGTAACCAGCTGGTTTGGCTCATACAATCTTATACAAAGATACACATATATAGATTTTTCTTGGGTGAATTTAGAAAAAATGGGGCCTCTTTGTATGTACATTGTATTTGCTTTACTAATTTAAAATTACAAAATTTTAAATTACATTCTACAAAAGCATCCAAGTTAAATGGTATAGGTGTGACATTCTCTTTAACTGTTGCTTACTTTTTTGTGATGAGGATGTATTACAATGTATTCAGTCTCCCGCTGATAGACATTTACGCTATTTCTAGTTTGTCCTTCCATTTTCCTTCTTCCAACTGGATTTTCACTGAATGTGTTTATTAATTTAAGGAGGACCTATATTTTTATGATATTTTCTCCCATTCAAGAATGTAGTATGTAGTTTGATTTAGCAAGATTTTGCTTGATGTCCTTTAATAAAATTGTATTGTTTTCTTCCTTTGAGTCACTTTTCTTGTTCAAATGATTCCTAAAAATTTTATGTTTTTGTTGCTAGGGATTATTAAAAACTTCTATTTTTATTGCTGGCAAGTTATTTCTACTATTGGAAAAAGCAACTGATTTTTTTAGAAAATATTCATCATGTTTCCAGTCAGTCCACCAAATTCCCTTTATGCTTTTGTACTTTAACCCTAGTTGAGTTGAACAGTTTTAATTTCCCATACCAAGCCTCTGTGGCTTTGCTTTCTGAAGGCCCTTCCCCTATGTTACTGACTCATTTGTATTACACATGAAGACTGCACAACCCTGCCTCCTCCAGGAAGCCTTCTTTTGACACCCCTTTGTTGGCAAGGGTCTTTGTTTGTTCTTTCCTAGTACCCTGTGCAAGCTTGTATTGTTTGTGTTTTTTACCCTTCATCCTAGTTTTCTGTCTTTGTGTATAGTCTCTCGCTCAATGGACTCTGAACTCTGTGGAGTAATGGGCCAGGTCTTAAACAAATTGATATTCTCAGAAGCTGGTGCCATGTCCGAAACATAGCAAATTCTCAAAAAAAAAGTGTGGAACTGAACTATTCTGATTGGGAATAGCTGTTAATGCCTGGCCAGAGAGACCTAAATTAAGGTCTCTGAACTTTTCTGCTGCATTACTCTTGATATTTATAAATGTTACAGATTTAACTTCTTTAAGTTCCTTAAGTGTATACTCACTTAACAACACTTAATTATGTGAAAATCATGATGTGGGTGAGGGTTTCGACCAGCTACAGAAATCTTGATTCTTGCTGGTGAGTGTATGTAACTCAAGAAATCATTCATTCAATAAACTGATGCTTACTGAACACATACTGCCTTAGTCTGTTCAGGCTGCTATAACAAAATATCATAAACTGGGTGGCTTATAAATAATAGAAATGTATTTCTCACAGTTCTGGAGTTCAGAAATCCAAAATCAAATCACTGGCAAATTCAGTGTCTGGTGAGGGCCTGCTTACTGTTTGCAAATAGCTGTGTTTTTGCTCTGTCTAACAAGCTCCCTTGGCCTCTTTTATAAGGACACAAATCCCATTCATGAGGGTTCCACCCTCATGACCTAATCACCTCCCAAAGGCCCCACCTTCTAATGCCATCACCTCGTGGATTAGGATTTCAACATAAGAATTTTAGGGAGGAAGCTAACATTTAAAACCATAGCACATACTATAGGCCAGATACTGTGCCAAGAACTATGCGTATAGTAATTCTCAAAATACAGAGGATATCTTCAGAGATCTTGCAAAATCCAACTATAGGACACACTATTTAAACAAAATACATGGCTTGAAGAATGGCAATGGACAGTCTTTCCTTATTTATTTACTCCTATTTTGGGAATCTACTTTCAGCTACTTTTTCTATAAGGACTGCTGCCAACTCATGCTGTGTATTGGTACAAATGTAGAAAATATCACACTGGGCTGATTAAGCAAAAGCAGTTCTCATTTATCCTCTTCTTAACTATTTTCTTTGGCTGATAAGGCACACGATGACTTTACAAAATAAATCAATAACCAGAATTTTCAAGCAAAGAAAGAAAGAAGACATTGTTTCACTTCTCCCTGCTACCCCTGTACCCCTCAAAAGTGGACCATGGTAGGCTGAATAATGCTCCCCAGCAATGTCCACATCCTAATCCCTGGAATGTGTGAATATGTTACCTTACATGACAAAAGGTACTTTATATGTGTGATTAGTTAAGGATTTTCAGATGGGGAGATTATCCTGGATTTTGCAGTTGGGCCCAGTGTAATTGCAAGGATCCTTATACAAGAGAGGGAGAAGAGTCAGAGGGAGAAAGATTTGAAGACATCATGCTGCTGGCTGTAAAGATGAAGGAAGGGGCAAAGCGCCAAGGAATGCAGGTGGCCACTGTGAGCTGGAAAAGATAAAGAACTGGATTTTCCTCTAGACCTTCTGAAGGGAGCATCACCCTGCCAACACCCTGATTTTGGCCCACTGAAACCCATTTTAAATTTGTGGTCTCCAGAACTCTAAAAATAAATATGTTGTTTTAAGCCACCAAGTTCATGGCAATTTATTACAGCAGCAATAGAAAACTAATACAGGGACCAAGTAGCCTGGCTAAGGTGCTGACTCTAGTAGGCTTTTGGGGGGAGTATGGAAAGACTAATAGGGATAGGGAAAACAACCAAGGAAGTTTGAATCCAATAGAGCCAGAAAGGGCAGGCCCCCGCCTCATTTTATAAGGGTCAGGAGCTAAACAAGGAAAATCTAGTCCAACAATTAGGAATCACAAATAAGACACAAACCCAGGAGTTCCAATAGAGCCAGAAAGGGCAGGCCCCCACCTCATTTTATAAGGGTCAGGCGCTAAACAAGGAAAATCTAGTCCAACAATTAGGAATCACAAATAAGACACAAACCCAGGAGTCAGGAGCCAAGCAGAAACAAGGTTAGGAAAGATACAGGGTAGCTTCTGGGGAAGTTATCAAGAATAGCCACAGTTCACATACACTAGGCTGTGGGCACCAAATGCTTAAGAAAAGTCTAGTGGATTAACCAAACCCCTTAATGAAAACGTCTCATTTACTGAGGACCTACTACCAGTTAGCCTATGTATTTCATTTCTTTTGTCCAATATCCCCACAAGTTGAGTACTACAACCCTTGTTTTACTAATGTCGAATCCAATTCAAAGAGGTTAAGTGACTTGTCAAGGTCACAGAAAACACAAGAAGTGAAGTGGGGTTGACCCATCTCTCCAAACTCAGGAGCTTTGCTCTTCTTTTCACACTGTGCCGCCCTCCTTTCAGGAAAAAGGTTTGTTGACTGAATGATTGTATGCACAGATCAAAGCAGGAAAACACAGCGACAGCCTTTGAAATACTTGTTCAGTGAGAACTTGGAAATGAAGTTAAAAATTAAGTGGCAAAGCCAAATCCAGGTTCTCTGCTTTGAGAATGTAGAGCCAAACCTGGGCTGTCTGACTGTCACGTGGCTCATTATTTATCCCTGTGAAACCTTGCGGGATTCTTTGAAAGGGAAGAAGAGACTCAAACTCCCTCTTTCTTCAGGTTAGCCTTATAGTCTAGGGCTTAAAATACTGGTTTAATGGTGAAGGTAAGTCCTTTTCTTTTTCTTCGGTGGAATCATAATTACTAATCTATCAGAGATCCATTAAAGGGCAGAAACAGTTTTAGGGGAAGTCAGAGGAAAAACATTAACGGCAGCTTAAGGATCTCCATCTGGGAATGGTGTCTGGTTTCAAAATGAAGCAGAGACTTTGTAACTGATTCAGTCATGACCCTAGAGCAGAGCTTGAGAGGCCACTGGTGCCAGTGGACACTGTGGATTGGTCACTTTTCCGAGGACTCCGTGAGTATTAACTGAAACTCCTTGATGAGTTGGACCGGCTTTAGCTGTGGAATGAAATTCTGGATCAGAACCAACAAGGGTTGGGTTTGGGACTGTAATTGATGAGTCTTTTCAGATTTCTATATGTACTTGAAATTGACACTCAAGAAAAGGAGAACATGACTGAAGTTGTGAATGAGACTGAAGGCAAAAAACCTTGTATGCTGGGCTTGCTGCCTTCACTGCAGAGCTAGGAAGAGGTGCCTGGAGAGATTATTGTCAGCACCTGTTAGTGCTGTGACGGGAAGCCAGAGGGGAAGGACTCAGTGAAGGTAACATCCCTCGCCCCCCGCCCCATCCCAGCCCAGGGAAAATCCTGACTCCAAAGCACAGTCATGATGATAATGATATTGGTCTGAAAGACACAGCCTGAGACTCTCGCTGAGGGGTAAAGGTGTGGGCACCACCCATCTCTTGAGGAGTTGTGAGCCCCTACTTTAGCACTTCAATTGCACCATAGTTTTGGCATAACCCTGCCTTCTAGAATTGCCCACCACTGGCACTCAGAATTGACAGTGTGATATAAATGATATACTGGAATAACCAATTTTTTTTTTCAGAACTACCAATCCCTCAGAAAGGTAGGCAAGTGCTCAGAGGGGCCTCCGTTGCACTAACACTGAGGAATTGCTCCTGATATTCACATCATCTCTCTGATGGGAGATGCCTCCATCCCCACCCATCTTGTGGATTCCAAGCCAGAGAACCCACTTTTAAAGGAAAAATTTAAAACCAATTTAACATACAATCAAAAGCACTTTTATAGAAGTATAATTTATTTGCTGTAAGCCTGTATTTATTCATGGATCTGAGAGGTCCAGAGTTACTGGGTTTTTTAATTATTATTATTATCATAACTGTTTATTATCATTACTATTGTTTATGTCAGTAACACTTTACAATGTCTGGTATTTTACAACTTATGAGGCATGTCTCATACCTTTGTTTTCACTCCAAGTAGTCCTATGAAGTAATATTTTCCCTGTTTTTTCTTGTGAAATAATGAAAGCTCTGGGAGTTTTAGAAATTTGCTTTGATTATTCGAATTGGGATGGCAGAGCTGAGGTAGGTCTCTGGATACCCTCTGAACTGCAGGTTCATGTTCCTTGAACTACATGTAACATTTACTCTGAGTAAACTAGGAGACTCGGCTAACAGAGATGATGCAAGACAGACTGGATATTAGGAGAAATCTAAGAGTAATAAAAAGACCATTATAACAAAATAATAAATTCTGGACTAAGAAGAATAGGGAAAAATTCTTTAGCTTATGCATAAATCGTCATGTCCATATTATTAATTTTATCTCAAATACAACTTATGCTGTATCATAAAATTATTTTTTAAATATAAAGTTTCCTTTAACTTAATTTCAATTTAATTTTTCTTTCTACTTACAACTCTGACACTAGGATTCACTATTTTTTTAAAAAGTGTCACTCCTGAATAGGAAGGTCCTAGACAAGGTTACTTGTTCTCAATTGCTTACAATTAGGCTAAGAATTATTCTGCTGTCTCTAAGTACATATCAATCATGCCATAATTTCATAAGCTTCTGTGATTATTTCAGTAAAATAATTTTCATTACTATATCACAGAAAGACCCCAGTTTAGAATAGTTTGAGATGGTAGCCTGATTTCCATGTTTGTCTCATGCAAAGAAAACAGGGAAATTAACAACTGAAATTAGTTATTATGACAAAATTCAAAGTAGCATTTAAAACTGTAAAAGCTAAGTTGGGCTTTTCTTTCCTTTTTTCTGCACTGTGGGGATTTTTTTTTTTAATGTGTTGGCCTTGCAATATATTGAATACTCCTCCAGCACCATATCACCTACTAAAATGAGTGTCTACTAATTATTTTTAGAAATCACTTGAGAAATGTAGAAAATCATAAAAAATAAAATGATCATCCTGTTCTGTAACCCAGAAACAGCCACTGCTGGCACTGGCGTGAATCTGTTCCTCTCTGTGTGTGTAGATGTGCACAACATATTCTGCTTCGTGTACAAGAGTACAAGCATTTCCCTAATGGTATTCAATACCTTTGAAAACATATTTCAATGTAGTCCATCACAAGAATCTATCAAAATTGACTTGACAAACCCTTATTGTTAGGTTAGTCTCCAAAATTATGCTGTCATAACTAATACTGTAAAGGATACTTTTAGACAAAATTCTTCATCTGTATCTTTCCTTATAATTTTCTATCCTAAGGTCGTAGATTATGACCATCTTTAGGGGTGCAAAAAAGTCTTTTTAAATTTACATTCAGAAAGGGTACAAAGTCTTGAATGTTGAAATATAAATATGATACATGTGTTTTTAAAGTCATGGGAGCGTCAGTTTAGGAATGGATGCAAAATTGACAATATTGTTAGGATGGGGATTGTTCCTAAAAGAAACAAATGTGTGTATCCTTAAAGAGAGTTTGATTTGTGTACAAATATCAAATTAAACATATTCATATTTGGGGTCATAAATTTTCATTGCCTGTCAAAATAGGTGGATTTATTCATAATTATAGTAGAAAGCCCCCATTCAGTATAATTTTACAAATGATTTGAAGACCTTGTCAGTCAAATAAAGTGTCCAAATTGCGTGTAGCAAAGACAAGAATAACATTTGAAATTTTTTAATGTAATACATATAAGCATCATACAACATCATCCGTCGTGTTCAAGGAGGACACCATGGAACTCTGTTCTGGCTGTGCAGAGGTGACAGAAACATGGTCAAAATGAAAGAAAAGACTGCTCTGGAACCTTTCTCCTCAGCTCTTGAGCTTAACTGTCCTGTCTTATGACCTGCTACAAGTCATGACACTCCTTTCCTTTGCATGGCTCTCTGTGGTTTGATAAAGTACTTGCAATTTTCTCATTTAATTTTTACAGCACTGCTCACAAAGGAGACATTATTATTGGACAGTTGAGGAAATGGGTGGTTAGAGAATTTAAAGTGACCTCCCCTCAGCATCAGTAAAAGTCTGCCAGATTTTCTTATAAAAATCTAGTCTCCCCAAAGCATAGCAGTAGAGTACTGTAGAATGTAAATCATATAGATGTGTTGGGTTAAAAGTTCTACTGATGCTAAGCGGAGGCAACATTGACAGGAGAAGATTTTTTTTTTTTCCTTTTTGTCTTTTTTTACTGACCGGCAACGGGATCGCAACCCTCGGTGTTGCATCCGCTCCATGCTCAGCCAGTGAGCAGGAACCAGTCTCCACATGGGATCCGAACCCTCGGCGGGAGCGCCGCCGCACTCCCAAGCGGCGCACTCTCCAGTGCGCCACCGGGCTGGCCCAGGAGAAGATTATTTGTGTGTCACATTTTGGATTATGTTCTCTCCATAGATAAAAGGCTGCCGTGGTAAAAGAGATTCAGGGCAGAGGGAAACTCCACCACGAGGTGAGAAGATTATTTGTGTGTCACGTTTTGGATTATGTTCTCTGCATAGATAAAAGGCTGCCGTGGTAAAAGAGATTCAGGGCAGAGGGAAACTCCACCACGAGGTGTGGTACCATTTCCCAGAGAAGCTCAATGGACAAGAAGCCGACCACCAGGAAAGGTAAAGCCACCACTCCTGTTTGCAGGCTAAGTGATGGAAGAGTTAAAGCCTCTAGTGTTTTTACCCATCCCTGCTCACCTGTCCTCCCTTTTCCATATGCCGCCCCTTGTAAACACCCCCAGGGTAATAATACTGGAGCCAGGTCCAGCCCCTGATCCCGCTACTTGTTGCTTTTTCCTTAGGGAGATCCACAGAGTTAACTATCAGAAATTAGGTGAAATAATAGATAAATCTGGGGATCTAGGGAATGGAATGAGTCTTGAAAACGTTATTTTAAGCAACTCCAACCCCAAAAGTATGAATCCCTACTATCATATCCTTGCCACATGGCTGGCTGTTTCCCCTGACCTTAGAAAACTCTGGTAATATGGAAATAATTCTTTTGCAGGCAATTAGTCCTATCCCTAAGCCTATTTGGCAATTCTTAAAAAAATTATTTCTTCCACTATATTTTTATACGTTTCTTCACAGGTTCTCTCTTTATTTCCCATTAGCCCCTATTCTTCAAATATGCAGGAAAAAAATCGAATCCAGTTTGGCCAGTTAGCTCAGTTGGTTACAGCGGGGTGTTATAACACCAGGGTCAAGTGTTCAGATCACTGTACTGGCCAGCCACCAAGAAAAGAAGAACAAATCTAATCCATCATTCACATGGAAATCCTTTCAATATTGGTCCATTTTTCTGCACTGTGGGGATTTTTTTTTTTAATGTGTTGTCCTTGCAATATATTGAATACTCCTCCAGCACCATATCACCTACAGACTTAGTAAAAATGGTTCTACATTTTATTTATTTATTTTAAGCTAAATTTTTGTGAAAGTAGGGCCTACTGACACACAGCAAAAATGTTTCTAAGTAGATATTACACTAAGGAGTTGGTGGAAGTGCTCACTTAAAGTACTATCTCTCAGGTATTTTTAAGAAGAAACTTTGGATGTGCAAATAGCTTAATGCAGAGACAGCTCTCTGTGTATGAACTCTCAAGCTTTGTGATAAATAAATGTGCATCACAGATGAGACCACTGACTTGCAGCCCAGAGACTTGGGTTTTGGGACTGGCTCTGCTACCATTTTCCTCATTCACTATATTTTGGTGCAATATGATATAAATGCCTTACATTTAGGTTTTTCTTTATCATCTGCTTCCCACACCTCGGAAAGACCATATTTACTTGACCTGACTTTAAGATCCCAGATTCATTGTCTTGACACCAACCAAATAATTTGATAAAGGAAGGCTGTGGTTGGGTTATTTTGATGAAAAAAAGACAGGGAGACTGAATGATATTATCTGGAGTTCTTTCAGATTTAGCTGTGGGAGAAATGGAGAGAAGGGAGTCTCAGTCGTGATGCTCATTGCATATTCTTTGTTGCCTGCATATTCCAGGCCCTGATTTCTGCTCATTACGCTGTGGGCTGGCCCTCATCATGCACTTCTCAAACTTCACCATGATAACCCAGCGTGTAAGTCTGAGCATTGCCATCATTGCCATGGTGAACAGCACTCAGCAGCATGGTCCATCTAATGCCTCCACAGAGGGGCCTCTTTCAGACACCCTCAGTAACCCCAACAGATCCCTCAAGGAATTTAATGCAAAGGTAAGTGTGAAGGAGAACGAGGTTCTTTGTTGAGAGGGAATAACAAACCCAGGTTGGATGCTGATTCTATAGAGTATGGAAGTATGAATTCTTCAGTGACAAACTAAAAAGGACTGGAATTAATTTTCTTATAGACATTGCTTCCTCAGTAATAAAAAATATTTCATTGAGATGATTATGATCACAAGGTGGAGGAACCATAGGAAAAAGTGGAATGAAAAACTAGATTCTACGTAGGCACATTCTTTTTGGTTACCCAATTCTATTCATGTCTTTGAATGTTTCATTGCTTTTTTTGTGTGCATATTTCACATTTTATTTACATTTGAAGATTAACTTTAATCTCAAAATCACATAGCCATACACTTAATTCCTCTTTGTTGACTTCACTTAAACTTAATGCATGGTTTGTTAAACAAAGATTATAAACAAATATTTACCATGTCTATTACATGTGGCACACAGAAAACAGCTTTTAAAAGAAATTCATCCACTACCCCCAATATTTTGTCATTATAATAATCCAGTTTTGCCATCTATTTAAAATATATTTCAGTATTGCTTCCTGCTTATACATGTGTGGTTCTTTGAATTCTCCTTTGAACCAATTGTAACATCTTACTGATTCCCTCATTAATCAGTGAGTTAAATAAAATCTGTCACACTTTAAATTTATATTTGTATGAGAATCATGATTATACACTGTTTTAAAAGTTATTATTATTATTTTTTGTCTTTTGTCTTTTTCCATGTCCGGCAACGGATCGCAACCCTCTCTGTCACACTTTAAATTTATATTTGTATGAGAATCATGATTATACACTGTTTTAAAAGTTATTATTATTTTTTTTTTGTCTTTTGTCTTTTTCCGTGTCCGGCAACGGATCGCAACCCTCAGTGTTGCCCCCGTACCGGACCGGGGACCGGCAACGGGATCGCAACCCTTGGTGTTACTCCCGCACCTCGCTCAGCCAGTGAGCGGGAACCGGTCTGCATGTGGGATCCGAACCCTCGGGCGGGAGCGCCGCCGTGCTTCCCAAGCGGCGCACTATCCAGTGCGCCACCGGGCCGGCCCCTAAAAGTTATTTTGAAAGCAATTTATCATGTATTATACATTTCTAATGTCATCCTATAATTCATAACTTATGATTTTATTACATGGACCCAAAGTATTTATGATGAATAAATGAATTCATTACCTCCAGTCTTTCTTCCGTCACCCATTCTACACATTCACACTCCTGTGCTCAAGAATCCAGGACACCTTCAAGTTGCCAAACATGCCATGCTCTCTCGACATGCTGTCCTCCTTCAGAATCTGGTCCTACTTCTCAACACACATCTGCTGTCAGTGGCCCAGGGAAAGTCTTTGCTCTGAGCAAGCCAAAGTCCCTGTTAGTTTCTGATCATTTGGTATCATTCCAAATGCTGCACGTCCACATTTGCTGTTTTCAACAATGGGAATGAATTTTCCTCTTTCTCTCTACACAAATCAAGTCATTCTTCAAAGGATGGCTCAAGTACTGCTCCTTCTCTGGGACCATCCCAAATTGTTCTTCTTCTCAAAGCCCCTATTTTACTTACGTTCATCTCCATATCTTAATTCTGACATGAATCATATACCTTGCAATATTTATAGTTATTTTAAGTGGATAAAATATTTCATATTTTATGTTCTTTGGTGCTATGCTTTAATTTATAGCATAATGCCATATATCTTGGGGACTACTAAAAATTATTTATTGAGTTATATCAGAATAATGTGATCTTATTTATCTGCAATACTGTATGTATTTTAGGAAGTCAGTTCTGTTAGGGCAGACCATAATTCCCAAACTTGATTTTTTTAAAATTATGGACCGATTTTGGTAAGAGTTCAGTAAAGTTGTGTTTTCCTATTTTTTGAAATGAGAGTCAACATGTTACCCAACTTTTACTAGAAGCAAAACAGTTAAAGAAAGCTCTTTCACAGATGAAATATCTCTCAATGGCTTCTTCCATTTTCCTCTTCCTTTCATCTACCTATGTATTCATTTTCTTTTATATTTTTATTTATTTTTACTTATTTTTGTATTGATTATAATATCTAAGGGGCACAGAGCTGTGCCCAAGATGTGGTGATCAGACCAATACTATCAGCATCATTTTCTTTCTTTCTTTTTTTTTAAAAAAAGATGACCAGCAAGGGATCCCAACCCTTGACTTGGTGTTGTCAGCACCACACTCTCCCAAGTGAGCCACAGGCCGGCCCAGCATCATTTTCTTTATCCCTTTTCTTCTTCATTTCCTCTGTTTTTCTCTGTCTCTAAGAGAAGCAAATTAGGGATGTAATTGTTTTTTTTGTTTAGAAAAGGTAGAATGTTTAAGGTAGGTAAAGGAGAAAAACTAAAATAGATATTTTATAGTAGTGTCTCCCCAACCCCAAGCAACTCTGTAGATTTTCATAAAAGAACTTCTTAGTGAAGAGTTTTCCTTTTTCTTTTTTCCAGACCTCTGTGTATCAGTGGAGCTCAGAGACTCAGGGTATCATCTTCAGCTCCATCAACTACGGGATAATACTGACTCTAATCCCAAGTGGATATTTAGCGGGAATATTTAGAGCTAAACAAATACTTGGTGCTGGTTTGCTGATCTCTTCCCTTCTCACCCTCTTTACACCACTGGCTGCTGACTTTGGAGTGATTTTGGTCATTGTGATTCGGACAGTCCAAGGCATGGCCCAGGTATCCAGATACTTTCTCATTCTGAGCAGGATACAGATTTCCAGATTCTACAAAAGAGCAAAGGTCTTAATGATTTTTATTTCAGGGTATGGCATGGACAGGTCAGTTTACAATTTGGGCAAAATGGGCCCCTCCACTTGAACGAAGCAAGCTCACCAGCATCGCAGGGTCAGGTAAGGGTACATACTGAATCAGAGATTTATAATCTGTTCCATCTTGTCTTTCCTTCTATAAATCAGGTGGTTTGGGGAAGAGGGGAAAAAGTGGTACTGAAACATTCAGCCATATAAGACAGTTACATGACAGATAAGAAAGATAGGTCTGTTGCTGTAAAGACACTGAGGGTCAGAAGTAGAAAAGACTGTGTGAACTAGGGTAGTAAGAAAAGCCTAGTAGGAAAACATTTAGAGTGTTAAGACTTGCATAAATGAAAAAAGATCAAGTAAACTGTATAAACACCATTTTAGCAAAGATGGTGAAGTGAGAATTAAGACTAACAGAACTCAGAGTGGGAAGGAGAGAAATCAGCCTGGAAAATAGAGTTTAAAGTGTCCGCATTGTTCTGAGGCCTTCACTATTTTGAGCTAATCTTCACAACATCCCTCTGATATAAGTACTATTTTTAACTCTCATTTTACAGAAAGGAGAGTTCAGGTATGTAGAGATTAAGTAAATTGCTCAAATACGAATAGCCAGCAGGTGGTAAAACTGAGATTTGAGCCCAGGAAGTTTGGTCCCCGTATGCATTCATTTTCTGTTGCTCATAACAAAATACCTAAAACTGGAATATTTTATAAGAAAATGAAATTTATATTTTGTAGTTTCAGAGGCTGGGAAGTTCAAGGTGGAGGGACAACATCTGGTGAGGGCCTTCTTCTTGGTGGGGACCCTCTGCAGAGTCCACCAACCTCATATTGCATCATGACAAAATGTAATTATAATTGTAAGAACATACTGCTGGTCTGTGATTGCAGAGAGACAAACTAAGAGATAGAGATTTGGTGACATTGGTGTTGAGGAGGCATTGAAAAGTCAGGGGGCATATCACTATCATTTATTAATTCTAGTTACTTTATATGACTTTATTGGGGACATTTGTGAGCAGGAAGATATACTCTTATCACCCATTAATTCTAAGTCTGCCACCTCACCATTGGGACAATGTCCAGGGAGGCCATGCGGTCTCAGCCTTTCCTATTTTCATAAGTGTTCTTCATCCTCTTCTCCTCAGGGGCAGCATTCGGGTCCTTCATCATCCTCTGTGTAGGGGGACTAATCTCGCAGTCCTTGGGCTGGCCTTTTGTCTTCTACATCTTTGGTGAGTCACTGTCTCTTAAATTCCAACACCTTCATTTCCCAGGCATTTGTTTTGATGCCTGCATCACCCACATTCTATTTATATGAGAGAAAATGCCCTTACATCATGAAATGGAAGATGACACAGAATGCTGAGAATTGGTACCTTACTTGAGTTTATACCATTTGACTTGACAACTTCCTGGTGGTTTGGGGAAGCCACATGCACAGGGCAGAGGAGGTGATTGTTCACATGGTGCCAACTTCTGGGAAATCAGTAGTGAAGACTTACCCTTCTGTCCATGCTGCTTTTGCAGAATCTTTACCACCACATCTGAAATGCCCAGTTTAGTCACTGCATGTAATTAAGATGTCAAAGTTGGTGAAGTATACCTTCAATGTGTCTTTATATTTTGTTATTATTTCTGCCCAGGATGCCTTTAACCTATTCTCAACCAGGTGAATCTTACAAAGCTCAATTCAAATGTTTCCTTCCCCATAGAATCTTCCAGCATTTTTCCCATCAGATTCAGCCACTATGATACTTACTGATATTTCGTCTCTAGGTTATGTTGGTGTGTGGTTATTTATTTCTCCTCATCTCTGCACTAGACTATGAAATGCTTGTGGCAAGGAATCCATTACATAATGTTTCTATCATTTTGGTGTCATCATAGTGCCTGACTTTTAGCTTTAAAATAAAAAACGGATGAATCCAGTTATTGGGGGGAATTTAAAGAACATTAGTCCCCCAAATCTTTTAATATAGAATCTTCTTCAAATGACAAATTCCAGTAATGAGACAAGTTTCTACAGATTGTTCTGTCATTATAGCCAAATGGTGTCATTAAATATGGTTCTGGCTTGGGTGGCTTTCTCATTAATGATGCAAATCCCAGTCATTTTGGTTTGCATGTGCTAACCAGGTAATGTCAAGAAATATTTCTTCTGGTGATCTATAATGAATGTGTCATTTAAATACAAATAATAGTGTCTCTTGCAAATGTGTTGGAAATTTTTCCTTGCCACACTGATTTCATGGCAGGTTGCTTCATGTATATATTATTACTCTACTCTTTGTCTTCAGTCCTGACTATTCAGATCTTCCAAAACAAAACAATCACGTGTATTTTAAGAAGTTGCTGCTAAAAACACATAACACTAACCACTGGAGTCCTAAGAGTAATTAATCAGCTATGCAATAATATGTGTATGCTCATGATACCTCCAGAGAGCTCTGACATTGGCAAGTGGTGACTATATTTGAGAGGTGGTATCTGGAAAGCTTTAACGGAAGAAAGAGGTTTGTAAAAGGATCGAAGGGAAGAAATGGGAAAATTTAAGTTTTTATGGTGGAATAACCATGAATTGACATGTGTGTGTTGGGTGCAGCATGCTATTTCAGAGGAAACCTCCTTCTCCAGTATACAAATCTACCTGAAAACTAATTTTGTCCCTGCTTCTCAGGTGGCATTGGCTGTGTCTGCTGTCTCCTGTGGTTCACAGTGATTTATGATGACCCCATGCATCACCCATGCATAAGTGTCAGGGAAAGGGAACACATCGTGTCCTCACTGGCTCAACAGGTACATGCCCCCTTCTCGCTGTGGACCTGCAGAGATCTGCAAGGCAGGTGTGGGCCTCCTGGGAGAGGTGCCCTCTGGCCTGATCTAATAACGTTGATTAGATATTTCTTTTCAGTCCAGTTCTCCTAGGCGATCTGTCCCCATAAAGGCTATGGTCAGATGCCTACCACTTTGGGCCATTTTCACAGGGTTCTTCAGCCATTTCTGGTTATGCACCATAATCATAACATACCTACCAACGTACATCAGCACAGTGCTCCATGTTAACCTCAGAGATGTGAGTATACTTCTTACAGTTCTACGAAAGTGACAACACTGGCAATCAGGAGAAATACTTCTATGCTGCCTATTACATTCCTGCTGTGCACATAACCATTCATTTCATGCTCACAATGACCTTGAGAGAGGCACTGTAAGGATTCCCATCTCACAGATGTGGAAATGGGACACATAGAGGTGAGATAATTTGCCTTGGGGCTAGACAGCTACTAAGTAGTACAGCTGCTGCAGCATCTGTGTTCTTACCACCATATCACACTGCCGTGCCAGCTGATTCTAAAGTTTCTCTTAGAAGTTAGTATTGCTTTTGTCTGGAGACCCATGTGATGCAGGTGCTGGCTCTCTTTCCTGAGACAGCGTTCTTCTAATGTGGAAAAGGGTGCCAACTTTCCTCAAACAACACAGAATGTTAGGGGGAGTGGCTAATGGTTGTTCTGTTTAAATAATACATTTTGGTGCTATATATACGTGCCTCTGTAATGACTCTATATAAATTTTCTTCCTTCAGAGTGGAGTTCTGTCCTCCCTGCCTTTTATTGCTGCCTCAAGCTGCACGATTCTAGGAGGTCAGTTGGCAGATTTCCTTCTGTCCAGGAATCTTCTCAGGTTGATCATTGTGCGAAAGCTCTTTTCGTCCCTCGGTAAGGATAAGCATGTCGGTTCTGTTAACTAATCCCTTTTCTGCACATGGTCTAAGAGGGTTCCTGACCACATGTCCTCATTGCCCAGGGCTTCTTCTCCCATCGCTGTGTGCTGTGGCCCTGCCCTTCGTGGCTTCCAGTTACATAGCAACCATTATTTTGCTGATACTTATTCCTGGGACCAGCAACCTGTGTGACTCAGGGTTTATCATCAACACCTTAGATATTGCCCCCAGGTAAGAGCTTTACCTGGTTTTTACCCTCCTCCAGACCCCTGTAGAGGTGTTAAACCTCAGTCATCACTGTGCAACTCCTTCATGTTATTGACATACACTAAACGATGGCAGAATGACAAATAACTAGAAATATCAGTATGTGGCTACAACATAATGTGGCATATTTAGAACAGTTTCCAAACTTGCCTTGTAATCATTCAGATAAAAAGCACCCCAAGCTTCTCCATCAAACACTTTGTGTTCTGGGAAAAGCCCATACACATGCATTCTGGAAAAGTTTCCAGGAGGTTGACCATATTAGCTACCACATATGTGTGTACTCGCCATGAGCCAACCCCTGTGCTAAGGACTTCTCATGTATCAACACATCTAATCCTTATAGTGTATTAGGTAGGCACTATTGGTTTTTTTTTTTTTTTTTTTTTTTTTTTAAAAAGATGACCGGTAAGGGGATCTTAACCCTTGACTTGGTGCTGTCAGCACCAGGCTCACCCAGTGAGCAAACCGGCCATCCCTATATGGGATCCGAACCCATGGCCTTGGTGTTTTCAGCACCGCACTCTACCGAGTGAGCCACGGGCCGGCCCCAGGTAGGCCCTATTGTTATCCCCATTTTATAGGGGAGGATTGAGGCACAAGAAGGTTAAGCCTATGGTCATGCAAGGGCCGAGGCAAGATTTGGACCCAGGCAGTTTGGCTTCAGAGTCTGTGTCCTGCCATTGTGCAACTGCCTCCTACACTGAGCAGCCAGGGTGGGGAAACTCCCAGAGAGACTAAATTGCACCCTAGTTATTGATTCAGTGGAAAGGTTTTTTCAGGGCTGGCAAATAGATATTGCCCTTGATGTCTTTAGGTGAACAAAAAACTGTGCTAGACAAAATGACTTTGCCATTAGAACCAAGCTGTATTAAAGTCAAGTTGCTGCAGAAGATATAGGTGGCTTTCTGAATGAAATCATCTCCCCACAGATATGCAAGTTTCCTCATGGGAATCTCAAGGGGATTTGGGCTTATCGCAGGAATCGTCTCTTCCACTGCCACCGGATTCCTTATCAGTCAGGTTGGGCCAGTTTATTGAACATCTGCAAGTGGCGGGTATTGTTTTAGATGTTGGAGATGTACACTGTGCTCTCAAGGACTGTATGGTCTGATGGGGAAACAAGCATGGATGTCAACAAAATTACTCTCTTCCCGGGAGCCTCTCAATCAGACTCTGGTAGGTCAGGTTTCCCAGGGAAAGAAAAATATAAGCTGAATTTCTCAAAATGAATAGATGTTAGATGGATGAAAATGAGCTGTTTGGGTGCAGAAGACAGCATGTATGACTTCCTAGAGGTAGAGAAGCATGACAGAGTTCTTAGTTATGAGCAGAGTGAATGATACGTGTCAAGGGATATAAGAGATGAAGACAGGCAGGCAGAAGAGGAAGATTATAAAGACTTTGTTCAGATTAATACAAATTTTTTAAAAAAATCACAAAAGGAAAGCACAAAGTGTCCCAAGGTCAGTTTAAAGAGAGGTGAAATCATTGTGAATAGAGAGTGGCTGTAGGACATTGCAGGGAGTGTGGACTGTGACGTTGCTCCGTGAGTGCGAACGTGGTTCGGTGGGGAGGTAGGAAGGCAAAACCAGGCTAAGATGGAAGGAATGACAAGAGCCAACTTACAGAGAAAAGTTTGGTTTTGTTTTTAATACATCTCTATGTGATCTGGTTTCTGGGTTATATTTTGACCATATTGGTAGGAATCCACTGTAACTATAAAGCTATAAATGAACTATGACTTACTAAGGCTTGGTGAGCAGGGCCACCCAGACAGACCAAATATGACTCGTCTTGTATTAAGGGGTTGTTGTGACTGATGTCAACAGCCAAAAGCAAAACAAAGCATGAAGAACACAAACATGAGCTCTTAAAGATGCCATTTTAGGCATAATTTTAAGTGAGTAATTCTATATTTTCATCAGTGTTGAAATCCAAATTTTCAGTACAACATTAGTGTGGTTGAATTCACTTTTTGTTTAAAGAAGTATCTATCCCAAGAGTCATTTTGTTAGAGTCATTTTGTTTCCAACAGTTTCATAAACCTGCTTTGACGACTTAAGATGTTAAGTGGCTGGTGTGTATCATTCCCTGTATTCTTTGTGATCAGAGTTGCCTGAGATTAATGTTATGCTGTGTCTTTTGTGTCCAGGATTCTGAGTCCGGATGGAGGAATGTCTTTTTCCTGTCTGCTGCTGTCAACATGTTTGGCCTGGTCTTTTACCTCATGTTTGGACTGAGATTAATGTTATGCTGTGTCTTTTGTGTCCAGGATTCTGAGTCCGGATGGAGAAATGTCTTTTTCCTGTCTGCTGCTGTCAACATGTTTGGCCTGGTCTTTTACCTCATGTTTGGACAAGCAGAAATCCAGGACTGGGCCAAAGAAAGTACCATCACCCACCTCTGAGGATATACAATTGCAAATTTAGACATAGTACTGACCATTAATTTTTCAACTTTTTTTTACTTATTGCCATTCTTTCTTCACATTCTTAACTATAGGCTCAGCAGTTGTCAATTCCAGCTGTGTGTTAGATTCTCCAGGGGATTCTCTAAAACATACTGGTGGCTGGGCTACTCCAGAGATTCCTAATAAATTGGTTCGGGAGGAAGCCCAGATTCCACTAATTTTTAGACTCCCCAGAAGTTTCTGATGTGCAACCAGGCTTAACAATTGCTACACAAATTTCAAAAGTCAATTCCTGGTATCTTTGCATTTTCCTCTTTGGAAAATACTAGATGAATAAAAACCTACATGAAAATAATCACTGATAAGTACCTTCATGGGGGTGGTTATGGACAGAGAAGATCTGCTGAGATGTACAGCCATATACTATAGAGCTCAGCACAGAACAGAATTTTAAAGCTGCAATCCACAGAATTAACATTTTTATTGTTTGTCATACATTGTGAAACATGGATGCTTATTTATGTGGTTAAATTCTATTAAAATTCACACACTAAAATTAAACAGACTATTTTCAAATTATTTAGATTAGGATTATTTCTATGAGGCAAAACAGATACTCACTTATCCTAGCTAAATTCCAGGAGAACAACGACCAGAAAATGACGAGGAAAAGATGAAATGAATGAAGTTAACTAGAATTCAGGGAGAGAGATGACAGAATTGGAAATGTTGTACCATGGGAAGAACGGATGTGAGGGGAGGCCAAATTGGCACTTCCAGAAGGAACACTGAAATAGTTTAGACCACTTAATAAAAAGTGGAAGGAGAAAGCAGGGCATTTTCAAGTGAAATGACAATGTATATAGAGGAGAAAATACTGAAGGTATAACAAGACGGAACAAGGAATAAAAAGATATCACGTACAAGAAAAGTTCCTTCTGAGGGTAGAAGATCATTTGATGGTCTTCACATTTTCCTTATTTCCCCAAGATTCTCAAATAGGCATCAACAACCCTAACAAGAATTGATTCTGGCTCCTAACACCTAAAACACATCCTCTAGGTTGTCTCCACACACAGAGCTGAATCTGGTTCTAACACAACTTTTCTAGAAAAGAAGTTCCCACTATATTTAGAATCCATTAGAACCACAAGGACTAGAATGTTGGGCTAATTTAGCAAGTAAAGAAAAGCTCCGAATGCAAACCAACAGGTATTTTTGAGCAGGTGTTTTAAGGAAAACATAGTGTCAGGCCCTGAAGGTGATTCTAAAATGAGAACACTTTGGTACTGCCTTCTGGGTATTCACAATGTAGAGAAAAAGGGGAGTTTGTAGGAAAAAAAAAAAAAAAGACCCCCCCCCCAAAAAAAAGACATACAACCCAGTAGAAAAATGGGCAAATGACTTGAACAGGAACTTTATGCAAGAGAAATTCTAACTGGCCCATAAACATATAAAAAGGTGTTCAACATCATTAGTCATTACAGAAATAAAAATCAAAAACACAATAAGATGCCATTACACACTTAACGAATGGATAAAATGAAAGAAGATAGAAAACAGCAAATGTTGGCAAAGGTGTGGAGCAACTGGAACTTTCATACACTAAGAATATGAGTGTAAATTAGCTCTTTGGAAAGCTGCTTGGCAATGTCTCTTAAAGCTAAATGTACAATTCCAATGGCTCAGATATTTCACTTAGAAATGCACACATACATTCATAAAAATGCATACACCAATGTTCATAGGAGCACTGTCCATAATAGTCCAAACTGGACACAACTTGTCTATTCATACAGCAATGAGAATTAACAGACTCCCACTGATGACACCGTGGATGGGGCTCATAAACACAATATTGAGTGAAAGAAGACAAAGAGTACATTCTTTTAAAGATTTATATGAAGTTTTTTAAAAACAGACAGAATAATCCATCCTATTAAAAATTAAGTTAGTGATTCCCCTTGCGCAGGAATGGGAGTCATGACTGGATGGGAGGTGATTAAGAAGGGTCGTTGGAGCACAGCTAATATTTTATTTCTTGACTTGGGTGCTAGTCACATGGATGTCTTTACTTTGTGAAGAGTGTACATTTATGATTTGTAGACTTTTATGTATGTAAAAAATAAAACATTTACTTAAATTCAAAATTTCATCCATTTCAAAGCTTCCCTTCTCTCTTCGGCTTAGGTGTGACCAAAGAAGCAGCTGGGAAGGGGCCTTGGTCCTCTGCTTTCATTTTCTTCCTGATTGTCTCCCCCCTCCTCCTTTGGTGGACCCTCCAGCATCAGAGCAGGAGGGAAGGCAGTGTGTCAATCTATGTTTTCAGCTTTTAGATCAAATCCCAAGCTGCCAAACCACAAAATGAATGTGCTCAAGCTTCCAAGAAACCATGACCCTGGAAGCATCAGTTGCCATGGAGGGAAGAACAACACTGGCCCAGCACATCTAGGTTTTCTGAGCAGCTGTTCTATTTGATTCCTGAAAGACAGTAGCTATGTGTCAGAAACTCCTAGGGTATCTTTTCCCATTTGACGGAGGGAAGAACAACACTGGCCCAGCACATCTAGGTTTTCTGAGCAGCTGTTCTGTTTGATTCCTGAAAGACAGTAGCTATGTGTCAGAAACTCCTAGGGTATCTTTTCCCATTTGATGGTTTGAGAAAGAGTTACCATTCACATTTCCTAAAGGCGTTAGAATAGATGCAATTGTGAACTAGTAGGAAGCATTTCCAACCCACACCCACTATCCCTAGAGAATTGTTTCTAACATTAACAGTTGTGCAAAGTAATTCACTTTTCTCAAATAGCTTATTGTCATCTATCTAATGATGAGATGACCTGTTTTTCTGTTTGACTGTTAAACATTATGAATTATATTAACATATTTCTTAATGTTGAACAATATTTTCCTTGAGTATTATTTTTATATAAAACAGAATTTGATCTACTAACAGTTTATTTAGGACTTTGGCTGCTGTACTGATGTGTGAGATTGGCTGTCATGTGTTTTGTGTGTCTTTATTAAGTCTGGATATGTGGCTTATGCCAATTTTCAAAAAAGAAAGGGAAACTTCTTCCTCAATACTTTGAAAAAGATGAACTAGAACATAATTTTTATAATTGCTATTATTATTTGAAGGCTTAAAACATTGGTTTGTAAAACTAGGCAGGCTTTAAGTCATTTTGAAGAGTTTTTTGATAATTTTCTCAATTTCCTTCATAATTATTGGTCTACTAAGGGGTTTTATATTATATTTTTTATCTTCTATCATTTTTGACAATTTATGTTATCTTGGAGGATCATTCATTTTTTACACCATTTAAAATGTATTTGTAAAATGTTCAAAAGTTTTATCAAATTATGAATACTATCTTCATTGTATCTATATCTGAGGTTATAGCTTCTTTTGCACTCCTAACATGGTGCATGTGAGCTTTCTTTCTGCTTTATTAGACCACTTAGTAATTTGTTTATTTTAAAAATAGCTTGTTTTTTTATTTTGTAATCTATTAACGTTATCTTTTTATCAGTCTTACCTCCTATTTCCTTTTGTTTTACCTCTCATAAATTTTGTTTTGAATACATAGTTCATTTATTTTTATCCATTTTTATTTAATTCTGAAAGAGGCTTACGGGAGGATTTCTCTTCTAAGTCCACTTTTGGGAGCAGACTACATTTTGCTCTGTTGTGCGTGCATTGTTTTCTTAATCCTTCATTTCTTGAGTTAATAACCTATGGAGTAAAAAAGCAACAGTGGACTCCCTCCTTATATACGATGAGGAAACTGGTACACTGAGACATCCTAGCACATCACCTCCAAATAGCCTCCTTGTTTTGATTTCTGTTCTCCGGAAATTTTGCTCCAGCCTTTTGCAGTTAGTATACTAGTTTTGCATTCAGTACGGTCCATACAAGAAATATAACGTTTGCATTCTGTTATTTGGGTGTAATTCAAGGGCTGGAACTAGGGTGAGGCAAATCAGGGGCTCAGGGAGCAGTGTTTAAGGAGGCACTGTTTCTCAGGCTCGTGCAAGCGCAGAATTGGCACACGAGAATGCCTCCTTAATTTTGCAAACTGGATACCTCTGGCTCAACCTTTGTCTAGCCCTGGCCACTCACATTTTTTTTTTTTCCATGACCATCCATGACCCTTTTTCTTCTCCAAACATTTCAGTGGAGTTTTTTTTTTTGGAACAGTACTTGGATAATCCTCAAGAGTACCAGAAAAACTGAGAATTTCTTTCTTAGAATGTTATACTATCATCATGGAGCCTCAATACATTAAAATATTAACTTGGCTGGGACAGAATTTTTGTTCGATATTTTTTTTTCTTCAAAACAGTATCGACTTAGCATCTGCTAGTCTCTTCTAAGTGTCTGATATGATGAAGAAGTGTGGTTGGCCAGCTAACAGGATTCTCTCTTTACCCTGGAATTTCATACTTTCACCAAGATGATCCAAAATGTTAATAACTCTCATTTGATGTTACCTCGAATATCATGACTAATTTGCTTTTCAGCTAGTGGTCTTGAGTTTTCTTCAGTTTTGTTTTATTTAGTGATTCTCCTTAATTTGTTGTGATCCCGCATCCTCTGTCTGTATGATAGAACCTTATCGTCCATCTTCTAGTTTCTGCAGACTTTCGTCCTTGGACCTGTTACTTTGCTTTCTCCATGGACTTCTCAGTTGTGGAGGTATACAAACACTTTCTCAGGTCTTCTTCAATGCTCATCAGTTCTAACTTATTTCCTAAAATTGCCTGAGGATGTGCCTGTGTCCACAATATTCCTCTTACCACTTTAAACAAGAGGGCTGGCCAATTGGCTCAGTTTGTTAGAGCACGGTTTTATAACACCAAGGTCAAGGGCTTGGATTCCCATACCAGCCAGCCACCGAAAAAAAAAAAAAAAAAGACATCCATACCTTATTTGGGGGCAATGCCTGAAGTGTAAACACTTTCTTGTTGTCAACAAAGGGATAATTCCAAATATTGGTTTGGGGATAACCTGTTACTGATTAACACATTCACCTTGGTTCTTGGTTTACCTGCCTTTCCTTGTCTGCTCTGTGTGGTTTTATTATAGAAGAAGATTGGCAAGAGTGGGCATGTACTGAATGCAAAACAACTGGAACAGAACAGGTTAGAGAACTGGTTCTTTCCATAAAGCTGGAATATTTTCCCAGAGCACCAAGATTCTAGATATATTTAATAAAATAAAATCCTCAGATAAAAAAGTTACATGATTGCCTCTAAATTTGGTATGAATTATAAAGTAAGGTGGTTAAAACTTTTATTAAAATCAAATCATGTCATGAATTCTTACCCTAATTGTAGTCATTCCTCATCTTATTTCATCTTATAAAATGTTTATGTTTTATTTATAAAATAACTTATTTATATCTTTGATGAAAAGTTTTGGATGTCAAGTTAAAAATGTTCAAGAGGGTAACTAATGTTTTCAAAATTCTTTTACAAAATACAAAATTAAAAGTTTGAAAACTATTTCTCAATACAAATGGTTTATTTTTAAACAGTATCCATTCTGACATTT